ACCGACGTGTGAGATTCTTTCTGCCTGCATCCCACTTCGGCCCTTCCCTCCTCTGGAAAGCCAAGGGCTGCGCTAGTCTGACTTGCACAGATTCCCAGTTCAATTATACGGGAGCTTATTAGTACCGTAAGCTAACTAATGTATTAAATTACCAAAGTTATGCTACTAAGAATCTGAGTGCTTGTAGTGGAGACTAAACTCTGCCTATTAACAGGTTTCTTTCTACGCCTGCATTTTCATTAAGGTTTCCATTTTGGACGTTGAGGGAAGTAGGCACCCAAAAATAAATATTTTTTTTTAAAAGACCCCCACCTCATCCTGCGCGTAAGTGCTCCTTCCTTCTTCCCATGGAGGAAAAAGGGGAGCCCGTCACTTCTGTCAGGAGGAGGAAAGCAGCGACTGCAACCTGCTGAGAAAAAGGGAGCTCTCTCTCACGCAGCCCCCCCACGCACACACACACCCACGCCTCCCGTTGGGAAGCTGCTGGGCAGAAACACTATGAAATCTGCATGTCCAGGACGACGTTGCAGGATCCACCCTGGGCCAGTCACCGGGGTGGGAGGTCCGGGCTTCTGGACCCCTCCCGGAGCCCATCCTGGGGGAGGGAGCTCCTCTCCAGCAGAGGGTGGGGCTTTCGGTAAATATCGCTGCACAGAGAAACGGAGAATAGCGCGGATCAAACTCGGCAGCGATTTTAAGGCGGTAGTTGGAAGAGGACAGGCAGGGCCGCTTTGCTGACGTTCCAAGAGACCCAAGCGAAGACGTCCTGTTTGATGCAGGGCCAAAAAAGGTTTCAAAATTCTATCCTGAACATTTTGAGCAGAAGCATCGTGAGTTAGAGGAAGGGTGCAGCGCAAAAGCTTCCTGGGATTCCTTCCAGCCTCTGTTTACCAGCAGTGACCACACCTGGTACACGCAATGAAATTACGGACTGTGTCTGTGGAGGGGTGTATTTGCTTTCTTCTCGTATCTGTGTATATTTACATGCGTGCACCCCAAGGATCGCGAGTTCCATAGCAGCCACCACCCCCCACCGCCCACCCTCTGTACTGTACACACACACACACACATTCTCACACACACATCTGTGATTTGTGGCCTTCACTTGCCTGTCGGTGCTCGTGGCACCCATCACAACACCCGCCAACACACCCACACACCCGCAGGCATGAACCAGGCTTAGGTTGGTTTGAGTACCAGGCGCCCCCTCTGTGGAGGCTTCTGGTGGGATTGCGCCCCTGTGGGCCAAAGCTTTCTGGAAGCGGTCTTAGCGCATGGAGCTTAGCGTGGTCTCTGAGAGCCCCAGGGACCAGAAACATGGAAGGAAAAGATACATTTGGGCAACTGTTAGAAAAACAAAGACAGCCGGCTTTGGCCCTGGTGATCTCTAAACTGAAGGACAGGATTTAACTCCTGCTTCTTGGGACTGAACCCCTCTGAGGATATCAAATCTTGTAAAAGTACAAACTCGGCAGGGAAACTGCGGGGCGATGACCTTGGCCAGGCAAACCTTGCAAGCAGCAGGAAGAAAGCGGATTTCTTTCCAAGGGAAGAATCTCAGAATAGCCCAGGAGTTACACCAGGCAACGCTTGCCAGATATAAAAACCTTCTCCAAAATCTGGAACAGCCCTCCGAGGTATTTAGAAGCACACCCTCGTTCCAGAGCATTCCCGTTAATTTGCCAATTATGAAAGTTAGGATGCTCTTAGGCAAATACTAGGACTTTAGAGGTGTTCTAACACTTTGTTCCTGGTTTTTCCTTTGAACAGAAGGCGGCCAAATCTCTCGGGGTCCTCCTCAACCCCACCTGAGAGCGAGCGGGAGAGAAACACACGAGTGTGATAGGGCATTCAGGCGAGATGTCTTCCTATTCCTACCCCGAATGCAATGGAAAGGGGCCAAGCAACCCATCCAATGTAACCGCCAGCCTTGTGAGAGAAACCATGCAAGGCCGGCCAGTCCAAAAGGACACAGGGACGTTCTGCATAAAGGTCCCGATTTGGAGCCCCGGCCCAAGTCGGGGCTCCCGGCTTCTGCAGAGGGAGGCAGCTGAAAGCCTCCCCTTCCTCCTCCTCCTGGCCTGGCTTAGGGGCCCCCGGGGGCCAGGAGAGCAGAGCCCGGCTGAGGCCGAGGGGCCAGAAAGGGGCAGGCCATGAGGCACAAAGCCAGCTGCGAGGCCTTGGGCCAGTCCCTCCTTTCAGCCCCAGGAAGGAGGCAACGGCAGACTGGGAAAACCTTGCCAAAAGAACGGCAGGGACCGGCCCAGGCAGCCAGCAGGGGCCAAGACCTGATCTGAAGGCACAAACACCAAGAAAGCACCGTTAGCAGCTGCTGCTGGGGCCCAACTGCCCCGTCCTCCTTGTCTCCTTTGATTTCAGAAGGTCTTTCCGGCGCCTCTTTCCTTGCAATGGCCAACTCAATACTCCGGAGGATCAATGTACACCGGGGGTGGGTGGGGGGGGGTGGAGAGAAAAAGGGTTGGGTGTTTTTACTATGAAAAAAATCTGTGCCAAACCAAGGTGAGGCTCCAACACAGCAGCAGAGACTGTGAGGCTCTTCCAAGAGGAGCTTGAGGAATAAGTGAAGGACAATTCTTTTTGAATGAAGCAAGTTTTAAATCTGCGTCTTCCGGCCGGCCAACCAAAATTTCCAAAACTTGAACCTCATTTTAAAAGACTGCAGCCAGTTCATTGGGGTGTCTCTACATCTTGGCAGAGCCTTTGGAACGGGGCTGCAGCTGCAGCAAATCTATTCCATGGTTGGTTGCACAGTCAGCCAGATGTTCAGACTGGATTTGGCTTTTTGGTCCGCCTATGGCGTCCTTCCCAAGGACCCGGGAGAGGCAGATGTCTGACGGTGTCCCAGGATGTGCAGCTGCTGCCTCTTGCAATTGACCGAGGCTGGAGGTGTTCAAGACTGTGCCCAAGGCAGGCGCCCGTCATCCTTGGTGCTCCTTTGCCCTCTTTTGCAGGTCTTCCTTCCCAACACAAGCAGGCGGGGTGAGCCAAGCCCCCCCCCCCGGGCTTCCTTCGCCCCCCCCCCCCCCCTCTCTCCTCCAGATGGATTTGGCCCAGCCTGAGAAAAGCATCCCCCACCCCATCTAAGGGCATCTTCCTGCATAACTGGGCCAGTCAGCCTTTCGAGTATGGGGTTAACGGGCCCTCCTGCCAGATTCCAGCTGAATGCTGGAAAGGGCCCAGTTCAAGACAGAGCAGGCCCCTTGCCATGATGGGAAACACATGTGTTTGTGCCGTTGCTGAAACAGGCTCTTCTCCTATTTTTACTCCCATTCTTTCTTTCTGCAGTGCTTTCCTACTCTGAAGCAGCATGAAGTAATTTATGTTAAAGAGATTCTCAAGAAAGCAGCAAAGCTTCCCCGGCCTTGTCATCAGCATGTGTGTCAGCCAAGCGGTGATGTCATAATATCAATCAATGATCTATCAGAGGTGCCAAGGAGAAGCCTCCCAGCACAACCCCAAACTCTGCAGGACTCACTGGTGGCCCTTCGGACCCACAGAAAACTAGGCCCTCCTTTGCTGGCGGCATCTCTTCTCTGGCAGCTCAAGTCGGTCTCCCCACAGTTTATTCCTTAGCAAACTGGTGAAATAAAGGGTGCCGAGAGTCAGAGGCTGGCCCCAAATCAGCCAGCATGGAACTTGATACCTCTGGTTCCAGTCAGCACTTTTAACAATCACATGCTGTGTGTTTTGTAGGAAATACTCTTTTCCTCCCACAAATAATGTTGTTCAGACAGACTTATATGGGCCATTCAGTCCAACTTCATATTTTGTAAGAAAAATGCAGACTCTATCACCAAAAGGTAAGCGTTCATATTGCCTTCCCCTGATATAAATATCAGCTCAACTAAAAACATTGTAATGGCTTTGAATAGATGCATTCATTTGGAAGGGAAACATTTTCACAGCTGAACTAAAATAGGCACAGTACCTGTTTGCTAAACTCTGGACAGGTAGAAGAATTCAATGATGCTCTGAAGACGGATTCAGGAAATAGAAACAAGACTTGGAAGGAAGGTAGGAAGAGCACAAACAAGGATCCCAGAATTGAGGGCAAACATTCATGTGGTGAACTCAGTCAGGAATGCTCAAAACCAGCAAAGGAACAAAACAATCCATCCGCCAGCTGCTCAGCCAAGAAGGTAAAATGCTAACCAGAGACAAAGAAAAGGCGGAAATAAACAATTAGGGTTCAGTTTTGTCCACGAAGAAAGGCTGCACCCCAGGGAAATTGGGAGAGGCAGGCGGGGCGTCAGCAGCCGAGACCCGGCTTCTCCCCCTCCCTCACATGCAGGGAACGGGCCTCATTCCGGGGCCTCCGAGCTCCCTCCCGGCCTTCAGCCCAGCACTGCTCGGCCAGGCCTGGCCCTGGAAGCGCCCCTTGGCGCCCCTCTTGCCGAGGACCTCTGGAGCCCCACGGGGGCCAGGCGCCTGGCTCTCCGCTTCTGCCCCTGGGTGTGGCCGCACCGGACCCGGAGGGGCTCCGAGGGAGACCTTCCCCCTTGGAGAAACGGCGGCAGGGCCAGGCAAGGAGGGCGGAGGTGGCGGGGGGGGGGGCGGCCGGGGCTGAGCGGCTTCAGAGCCCGACCACCACAGGCCCGAAAGGAGGCGGCGGCTCGGGCTGAGCTTCGCCACACGACCTGCCCCGCTTCGCCCGACGCGGGGCCCGCCCCTCCCGCCTGAGGGGCCCCTGGAAGCGGCCGCCTTTCCCCGGCGCATCCCTGGGTGCCGCTCCGCCTTCTCCAAAGAGCGCCCAAGCCGAGCGTTGCCCCGCCAGGAAAGCCGGGCAGCCGAGCTTCCCCCGCCCCGCCGGACCCTCTGCGCCGGGACGCGGGATGCCGCTGCGCGGTTAGGAGCGCCGCTCCTCCGCCGCCACATGCCGCCCGGCGCGGGGGAGGCTTGGAAGGCGGCGCCTGCCGGCTTTGCCCACCCTCCGCCCGGCCTCCGCCGCCTTCGCCGGGAGCGCGGCAGCGGCTGGAAGCGCCCCGGGGGCTCTGCGCGCAGCCGGGCCGGGCGAGCGGGCTCTTCCGGCGTGGCCGTCGCGGCCGGGAAGGGAGGCCGCTTCGTGGCGAGAGACGGTCGGGAGCCCCGCCACCCGCCGGTCCGCGCGATGCCTCTGCTGGCGCTGCTGGCGCTGCTGGCCGGCGCGCCCTGGGCAGGTAAGCGGGAGCGGAGCGGCGGGAGGGGCAGCTGGAGCCCCGCGGCCGTTCTGGCCCATCAGCGCCCCGGCCGAGAGGGCGACGGCCCGACCGTCCGAGCTCTTCCCCGGCGCTCGCCTCCGCCCCGTCCCGCCCGCGGCCGCGGAGGCGCTTTTTGGAAGGCGACGAGTCCTCCTGTGGCGGGCGGGGGGGGGGGGCGGGGAGGGAAGAGCCCCAAAGGCCGAGCCCCGTCCTCGAGCTTCGGGCGGAGCCGGTCCAGGCAGGCAAGCGCTCCTCCGGGAGGCGCCCCTTGAAGGAAGGCAACGCCGCTCGCAGCCGCCTCCAGCATGGAAACGCGCGGAGGCCTCAAGGCCGAACCGCCCCGTGGGCAAAGCTCCCGCCTGCGGCCCCGGGGGAGGACTCCGCGCGGGACCTCCGGGAAGCCGAGGGAGCCGGTGCCCCGCGCTCTGCAGAATAGCAGAGTTGGGAGGGACCTCGGAGGTCTTCTAGTCCGACCCGCTGCTCAGGCAGGGAGCCCTGGACGGTTTCAGACAGCGGCTACTCCGGCCTCTCCCTTAAACCTTCCGGCAGGAGGCGAAGATGCGCGGCTCTTCCAAGTCCGCCTTGCAACCGGAGGACGGGGGAGGGGAGCGAGGGTTTGTGTCCCCTCCCCTTTCCAGAGCCAGCCTCCCCGCGCCCGCTTTGATGGGGAACCAAGGCACGGAGGGGGGAGGGGGTTGGAAAACAGGTGGGGGGGCCTCGCGGGCTGAGGGGGGGGGCGTTTCTCCTCTGCCTCCCTTCAGCCAGCGGAGTAGGGAAGGAGAGAAAGGCCTGGTTGGTCCAGGAGGGCCTTGCCTGGAGCCCAGCCCCTGGTCCGGCCTGGACTTTGTGGGCAGGGTCTGCTCTGCATCCTGCCCCACTTGCTGCCCTGGGGGGCAAAGAGGTTGCGTGCCTGGGGTCTGCGGCTGAAGGAAGAAGGTGCAGGAAACGGGCCCCTCGGCCCTGCCACTCAGGCCCACCGGAGTCCGGGGCTTGTTGGGCCCCGTTGCGCGGCCGTTTAGGGTTTTGGCCAGGATGGAAACTGGGACCAGGCCATCCTTTAGCTCCCCTGAGGTCCAGAGCGGGCGGGGGTGGTTACAACTGGACTGGTTGACTTGGAGCCGTTGGGCAGTTTTCAGGAGCTTCAAGCACCTCCCCGTTTTAACCTCTGTGTGTGTATGTGCGTGCGTGCGCAAGTGTGTGGACAGGGCAGTTCTGGCCTTTTGTGTGGTCCATGCTGGGTGGGGGGGCTGCTGTTCCTAGCCCGGCCTTTGGCTTCTCTGCCTGCAGCTGCCGGTTAATGAGCCTGTTCCCATATCTAGTGTGCCTGCTGTGACCCACCGGCAATAGTTACCATAACGTGGTTTGTTTATTTGGTTTTTATCCCACCTTTATTACTTTGTAAGTAACTTAAGGTGGCAAACATGCATAACAATCCTTCTTCCCCCTATTTTCCCCACAGTGTCAGGGTGGGAGAGGACGAGAGCGAATGAGTGGCCCAAAGTCGCCTTCATGACATTTGAGCCTAAGGCAAGACTAGAACTAGAACTCACGGCACCCTGCTTCCTAGGCCAGCACCTTAACCACTACACCAAACTAGACCAAGCACTTGTTATCACCTGTACCTTGCTTATATCCAAAGTTCAGCCGTCTTCTTGTGGCCAACCTTGAGAAGTACATAAAACTTAAAGGAGTGCAGACTCCTCACTTACCAACAGGTGCACAACTCTGGGAGTTGAAGGCCTCCTGTCTTAAAGTCGTCAAGGTTGGACGCCCCTACTGGAGAGTAAAGTTACCCAGGCACAGATAGAGTGGAAGAACTTTTAAAAGTCCAAGAAGGCTCAACGTGATATCTTAGGGATAAAAATACAAAGGTTTGGGGATAAATATATCTGTAATAAGGAAAAAAATGAATTGATTCAGTTTTTCTCTGATAACCCAGAACATAAAATAATTCCTCAGTCTTTTTTTGTTTTCAAAAAGAGCCATAATTTTGTTACATGTGGGTTAAGATAGGACCTCAAACCAAATGATGCGGTTGGTCAAAGCTGCTGAGAAGCGTTTGGTGTTTTTTTTTTTTTCCGGCTTTGTAGATATTTGTGAAGCTCTGAACGTGAGCGTCTCTCCAGGACCCAGAACCCAGCACCTGATTGGAGATAACGTGACTTTATGCTGCCACGTTTCTCAGAAAAGGCGAAGAGAAAACCTTTTGGCTGTCCGGTGGGTGTTTGCTCTCCCCTCTGCCCAGGAATACCTGATGCTCAAAATGACCAAATTTGGGGTCGTCCAGTACTATGGAAATTACACCAGTCACTTCTATAGGCGGAGGCTTCGTCTCCTTGAGGAGAAGCACAGGGCGATGTATACATTTTTGATTTTGAATATCCAGCAAGCCGAACAAGGGCACTACATTTGCAAAGTTCAAGAGATCGGCAAGCAAAGGAACAAGTGGACTTCCTGGTCCAATGGAAGTGCCTCCACTGAAGTCCAAGGTGAGAAAATAACACGGGAGGGGTTGGGTTTTTTGTTTGTTTTAGCCATCCAGGTGTCAGGGGTCCAAGCAATACATCCCTAATACACCCACTAGGTAGGATTGTTGTACTACCTCAGAAAGAGCAAAGCATTCATCCGGAAGGCCTAAGATTTGTCCATGTTGGCTGGAGACAGTTACCACCCATTATTTAAAAACAGAAAGCCAAAGAAGGTATTAACCTTGTCTTTTGCAGGATCCCTTATTAGTAACGGTTGGGTCTTAAGTATATTGAGATACTTGGAGTGAATGAATGAATCTCTTTGTCAAGGGAAATAACCCCTTCCAACGATGCCTGTGTCTTTTATCTGCCACAAGGGTATGCGTGCAAAGATCCTCATCTTACTGTGTATTTATAGAAAAGCAACCTCCATAAAATTCCATAATATGTCCCTATGACTTTGTATAACAGGAGGTGTGTGTGTGTGTGTGTGTGTGTGTGTGTGCGTGTGTGTGTGTGTGCATGCAAACATTCTTTGGGCAAGCAGGCTGTTACAAAACAAAGGTTGGCTTTTGGGCAGAAGTTAATATTTGAGGTATAATCGGGTGCGATTCAACTGGTGTAACAACCGGTTCGGTGAACAAGGGCTTCGCACGCACGCAGAGCGTTTGCTACTGACCTTCTCCAGCCATCGCTCTGTGTTCAACAGCTGACGCGTGGCAATCCATTGTGCCCTGCAAATCAGCTGAGCTTGAAAAACAGGGTATAAAGCACAGCCCAGAGCCCAGATGCGCCCAACAGCTGATCCTCGGAGCAAACCCAACCGGTTCACTACCAGCTGATCCTTGGAGATACTGGTAGAATCCCACCCCTGGGCATAATGCTGTACTTTGGGCAGAGCGCTTTTAATTTTACTGTTGGTTGGGCTTGTGGGCAGCCCTCTTCTGGCAGGCTGGATTAAAGGAGGGGCTCTTGGCACCAGTGAAACGCAGAGCCACAGACATGATCACAACAGAACCAGCAACAGAGCAAGTGGATTGTTGTTGCAACTGGGAACTCACATTAAATGGAACGTATGTTTTGTTTCGCACTGGAGGTCAACGACTGTGTTTGGAGAAAAAAACCCAGGACACACAGGTGGGGGAGATCCTAGTCTATGTGGAACAAAGCAAAACTTTTGGGGTGTTCTGGCTGTAGGGAATCCTTGGAGCTCAGAACAAACCCCGATTTCCTAGTTTTTCATTCCAGGGCTACAAAAGGAGGTCTGGTGGTAAGCAGCTCATTGCTATCAATGTAGCCAAGGTTTTCTTTCTTTCTTTCTTTCTTTCTTTCTCTTTTAGAGGAGATGATTTTGAAAGTACCAGTAAGAAATACTTTTTTTTAAAAAGCCCATGAAGGGATACGTTGATTTTTTGAAACTCGATTTCTGGTTTAGTGGGGTGATCACAAAGAAAATTGCTTCCAGGAAGGAAGGAAGGAAGGAAAAAAAGAGAGAAAGGGAAAGAGCTGCCTGTGTGGAGAGGGAGCCTTCTGCGGGGCCACAGGACACGCTCTGCACTTTCACTCCCCCACCTGAATTTCGCAGCCGCCCCAACAACCCCAGTCGTGGGAGCTCCACGTTGGCCTGTTCCTGGTGGCTCCTTGCCTGTGGAAACGGGCAGAGCCGCCAGCCAGCCGGCCAGCCACAGGAAGCCTCCTTTTCCCATAGCGAAGAAGCGTTTTAAAGGCCAGCTGTAAATCCGGCTTCTCCCTGGCGGGACTGCAGCCGTCAGCAGCCTCTCCCGCCCGCCTGGCCGGCCGGCTCAGGCAGCCCATCCCCTCTGGGCGGCGGAGGGGCGGGTGGCCCCAGGGCCGAGTTCCCCTCCCTGTGCCTGGCCCCAGGAGCTCAGCGGCATCGGAAAGGAGGCGGCCCACGGTGGCCCCGATGGGGGAAGTGGAGGAGGGCAGGGCTCTCCTTCGGCAGCAGGCCCGGGGCATTTCGGCTGTGGAAGCCTGGTCTCCCCTGCTCAGCTGCCCTAGAGAGGAGGGTTGTTCTGGCCTCAGAGCCTGAGGGGGGGTCGTTCGGGTGGGAAGAGGCCCCAACCTCTGGCTGTGTCACGTGGGGATGGCCGGAAGGTTCCCCTCTTCTCCCGATCAAGACGGCGAGCCCACCCCCGCACCCCTGAAGGGAGGGAGGGAGGGAGCCTTGCTGGCCAGGCAGAATTGGACCCGGGTGCCTGTGTAGCTGCGGCTGTGGCTGGAAGTGGAACATCTGCCGGGGGGCCCAGCCTCGCTTGGCTCTGGGACAACGGAAGGGGGAACTTCCCAGCAGCCTGACTCAAGTGGGGAGGAGATCGGAAGGGAGCCCTTAGCCAGCCACTGCCAGGGCTGCTGCCACCTTCCTCCTCCTCCTCCTCCTCCTCCTTCCACAGGAGGAGAAGCCGTTCAAGGCAAAGGGTTTCCCAGGCCCTTCAGCCACGCCTGAGACTTGCAGGGGCGTCGTCCATGGAGGGGCTAGGAATTTGTACCTGGAAATGGAGCCGAGTTGCATCCTCCCTCGGGTTTTCCTCTGGGTTCGCCGTTCCTTTGAGATGCCCTTTAAAGAAAAAGAAAACTCCTCAGGCCGGTTTAGTCTGCAGGCCGAAGCCAGAGGCCACTGGACTTCCTGCTTTTTTCTTTGGAGATGTTTCGCTTCAGGAGAAGCCGAGGAAGTCCAGTCGCCCCTTGAAAAAGCCCCTTTGGGACAGCCATGGCCTGGAGGACGGAGGGTCTTCGGAGACGTCAGTCAGGAGGCCTCCTGGCTCAGCTTCTAAACCTCCCCGGGAGGTGTGGAAAGCACAAAAGAGAGCCCTTTCCCTGGCTCTCCTTACAGGAGAATGAACAGCAAATTGTTTACCTCATCTTAACTGTGTAGCTCTCTAGATGGTTTCCAAAACAGAGGTTAAACATTATAAAGCTCAAATAGGCAATGATAAATGGCCGTAGCCCCATAGCGAATCAAAAGGGCACCAACGCCTTCCCCATGGAGAAAGACGGCGGTGCCCAGAGCTCCATGGCTGAGGAGGAAGGGACACAGGATAGGTTCTTTGTATCAACCGCCATTGTCGTTCTTGTCCCTGATGAAGCGGCAGTCAGTGGTTGCTCCCTTTCTAGCATACTAGAATTTGGGAATCTCGAAATGAAACCCCCTGAAGCCTAAGATGTGTGGATGAAGAAGGTGTGGAGGATTGCTTGTTTGGAGGGATAACCCCCCCACCCCCACCCCCACGGTAATTCAGAGAAGGCTTCGCTTGGTTCCCTCTGGCTCTTTGTCAGCCTTTGGAAGCCACCTTGGGCTGACGCTGCAAAGGCCAGTGGGCTGCCGCAGGTTCAGAGTGGAGGGTTGCGAGTCTCCACTGTCTTCGGGATCTTCCTCTCAATGAAGGGTCCTTGCCTTTCTCCCGAGGTTCAGTAGCCTCTTTACGCCTCCACCGAGCTGTCCGTCTTTATCTCTTCTTGAGCCCAAGAAAGCAAACTTTCCTTCCGCATTCACTTCTTCATTGTCAACTGTAGGTTCCCCAAACACGACCGACTTCCCCTTTGTCCCCTTCCCTCCTGACCCTGGTACTGATTCGCCAAAGGGGGCCGCCTGGCCTTGGGACGCAGCAACGCTCCTGAGGGTGGCCAGGGGCCAGGCACCTGAATTTTGACCACAATAAGATCATCCTGGGGTGCTGCAAAGGTCCACAGCTATGAAAAGCCGTCAGAAGCCGTCTTGTTTCAGTTCCATCGTAGCTTTGAACGGTCACTAACTGACCTGTTGTAAGCTGAGGACTTCTTGCACTAGCCCCGACTTTCATTTTCACTACTAGCATTTCCAAGAGTTCCTAACGTCCTAACCTTACTTTGCAGTCTTTCCATTCTCTTATGCGTTCGCTGCATGTGTTAAACTATTTATTTATGGTCTCGATATGTCCTCCCATCTTAGAAAAGGCAGCTGTGGGCACTGCGCCTCCTCGTGTCCTTCCCTCCCTCTTTTGAACCCCTTTCTTCCGGGAGGTTCTCGCTTGCTGCAAAGGTTCGCCAGAAGGATGTTGCCATCTTCCCCCGAACATTCAGCAGCCTTTGGGTTGGGCCTGTTTTGCACGGCCAAAGGCTCCACTGGGGTCCATAAAGTATAAGTGCAAGCCTCCTACTTTGCTGTTGTGCATTCCCTGAGCTCATGTTCTGCCGCTTCTGACTCCACCCCACCCTTTATTTCCTCACTGTGTGGTGGTTTTCCTCTTCATGAAACCATAGGAAAAAATGGGGTTGGTGAAGAGCTTGTGAAATCAAGCGGTGGCTTTGAGCTCTCAGCTGAGGCATCTGCACGGCATCGAAAGAGACCAGGGGGTCCCAGCAGAGCCCCTGCGGAAGGAAGGGCCGCCAGAGTCCCTTTGGGACGTGCAAGGACACCCGCGTGTTTACAAAAGGGTGTGTGTGTGATATGGGCAACAGGCTAATCAAGAAAGAGAAACGAGGCCACAGTTGTGATGCGACCCCCTTGTCTGTGGTCCTTGCTGGGTCCCATGGATGGATTCTCTCTACGGGTTGCCAAGCCACAGACAGTCCTGGGTGTCCCGGTTGACCCGGAATGGTTGGCCTTTTCCTTCCTTTTCTCCTGAAGTTTTAAACAGAAAGGAGAACAAACAGGTTGTTGTGCAAAGTGACTGACATCCATACACACAAACAATACTTTAACAAATGGAGAGAAAAATGGATTGTAGTTGTAGACTCTCTTTTAAAAAGATACATTCATATATATGCTCATATTTATTATGGGCCAGAAAAATAAATACAATTTGGATATGTGCTTACCACAACCCACATCTGGCAAAAAATATATTAGAATACAGAGAGAATTTGTGAAATCTCACAAGTACAAAAGCAAAATAGGTGCCTCCATATCTGAACTTCCCTAACAGTTGTGTTTCAATAAAAATTCTGTCTCTTTCCAATTCTGCCTAGTTGAAGGTCCGAGTCTGGTAGGAACGTGTGATCTTCCATGTGGTGTGAACTTCTGTGTGAATGAGCTGACCCGGGTGGTCGGACGCGTAAGATCCAAAGGAGAGGCGAGTAAGCCTCAGGGGGAAATGGCATTTTATTCCTCTAGGCGGGACTTAAGGGGACTTAAACGGCAAAACTGTGCAGTGTTTGTTTTTTCAGAAATGACTAAAGTTTTCTCCCATTAATTTCGGGACGGTGGAAGCAATTATAAGAGCGAGGAGGAGGAAAATTACATGCTTTGCGACTGAAATGATATCTGTGGTCGCCTTCCCCTCCCTTCTCTCAGTCCACTTCAGCCGCCAGCTGACTTTCTCCAGTTCTGCCATCGCTGGTGGGTTCTCGGCTTCAGCTCTACTCCAAAGCGTCCATTTCTTCTAAAAAAAGCCCATGACTGTCTGTGGTGGAGCTGTAACGTCTGTGCAACTTCATGGCTCGGGTTTTGATGTGATGTATTATTATTTTCTTTTGCTGATGGACGATCCCCAGCTGACCCCGGATCTCTCTCTTCTTGGCGCCAAAGGCATCCCCAGGTTGCTGCTCCCATTTACCTGCCTGCTTATCTTTCAGGAGTCTGGTGGACTTCTGGGGGAGAATCTCCCCCCCACCCCTTTGCAGGCCTGCCCAGGACCCAGGCGATGAGCAACAGGAAACAGCAACTCAGCATCTGCAGTATTCTTTGGGAGATAAAATTTGTAGTATGCTGAATGGATTTCTCTAGTTCGTGAAATCGGTTTCAAACAGTGTTCGTGAAAATAACCTGTCCCCGTATCAAATACTATTCCGTATCGCCGATACCCTTTCAAGCAGATTTCAACAGAATAATAGAGTCCGAAGGGACCCTGGAGGCCTTCTAGTCCAACCCCCTGCTCCTCAGGCAGGAGTCATCCCAGACAAATGGCTGTCCAGGCTCTTCTTGAGCAGACTTCCAGTGTTGGAGCACCCAGAACTTCTGAAGGCAACCAGGTCCCACTCCATAATTGTTCTCACTTGTCAGAAAAGTTCTCCTTAGTTCCAGGTTCCTTCCCTCCTTGATTAGTTTCTTAATTAGTTTCTTGATTAGTTGATTAGTCTCCTTGATTATTTTTAATTGTTGTTTTTGGTGATGCTATATAGATTCTGCTTAATATTTATGGAAACATTTCAGGCTCTAGCATGACAACATTTTTTTAATGAAAAAGAAAAGAATTAGAGTTGACGAAGGAAGGAGAAAAAGAATAAAACTTTAAAAAATACAAAATTGCAGGAGAATTTACAAAATATTGGAAAAAGTAGAGGAAAACGTCCACTATTGTTTGTACAAGTGTCACTAAATTAGAATTAATGGTTATTTATACAAGTCAGACCAGAAAGTGACAAAGACAGCCAAATAGAGTTATCAGAATAAGGAATTAGCAAGAAGTTCTGACTCATCGGAAGAGGTCCATGTTCACCCTTAGAACTAACCAAAAATAATGTAATGTTTTAAATCCTTGTATTGCAAGAGACACAGACTAAAAATGTGACAGATGTTTATGTGCAGCAGAATTATAATTTCTAAAGATTCCAAATTAAGTGAAAGGTGATATTAGATTTATTTTTAGACGCAAAACTATTTTGTGCAGGCGATCACTTCCTTCTTTCTTTTTCAGTGTTTCCATCCCAGTTTTTGGATGAGGAAAAACACAACGCTTGGGCATTTTTTGAAGGTTAAGTAAAATTTTCCCTTTTATTCTTCACAGATCTAGTAAAACATGGTTTTGTGCAACCTTAATTTAAAAAACCAAGATGCTTGTCCCAAAGTTTAGCTGTGTGAATTGCTAGTGGGACGATGGCCACACTTTGCGTGGCTGGAGTATCTTTGACAAGGAGCTTTTAGCCATTACGTTTCCAGTTGGACCCCTGTCTGTTTTGGCCTCTCCCGTTTCCAGCGTGCGTGTAAATAGTGTTTATGTATCAGGGATAAAATGCTTGAGAGGTGAAGGAACTGGGCCTGCTGTGAGCAAGGAGGAGCCAGGCTTTTCAGCCCTTTTCTCTTTGCCACAGTTATGCTGATTTTATTTATAGTCTGTCTATATATGTAGAAAAGTGTCATCTAAATTCCACACAGATGAGCTGAACAATTTCGCTTCCTCTTTTGCTTGAAATTACTTTGGAGGTGTTCAAAAGCTGATCATTTTTCCAGATTTCATCCTCTTATTTCTGTGCAGCGTTATAAAATAATCCAGCCATGAATATGTTTATTAAAGGTGCCCCAAACAATAATTAAATTAAAACCCTCAAATTTTTCCACCTGATTTAGACAATGTGAACCTTTTGATAATGATCTATTTAAATATTATTTTGGATCAGTAGAACATTTTTTTGGAAATAAAGAGAATTTATGGAACATGTTAAGTATACCAATAGAAAATTAATTAATTAATTTTATTTGCTGCCCATCTTATTTTGAAACAACTCATATTAGAGTTATTTAGTTGAGAATAGATCTAATAGGGAGTTTGAAAAATAATAGTTTGATAGATTTGAATTTTACTGTAGTCAACAAATTCCAGTAAATAAGGTAAGTACATTTTATTGGTTACGTGGAATAGCATTTGATTGGTCAAGCAAAAGATTCAAAAGTTGATTAAAATCACATCATAATTTCATGATTCATCCTTAAAAGGCAGGTATAATATCTATAGTGATGTTTAAAAGTTGTGAACCTTTTTGAATTTTCAATATTTCTGCATAAACATGAAATAAAACATTATCTGTTCTCCACACATCCTAAAACGCGGTAAAGGGAAACCAATTAAACAAATTAGTGAATAATATTGTATTTTTATTTATTTATTGAAAAAATGACCCACAGCTACATTTGTGTGAAGAAGAAACTTTTCAGCACCACCGTATGTAAAATTTCTGGTTTGTGCTTACTTGGTGTATAATAATCAATATTTAAAAATAGTATCAGATGTAATCACATTTCAAAATTTATTATTCATAATCATTATTCTACCTGGTTTCAATTACCACATATATTTAGCCTATCCATCTGATTAATTTAAAAAAACTTCTTATCAGGAAGATTAAGAGCTACTTCCAGGAAATTCGGATCACACAATTTGGAAAAGATCCTTTTCCTCTGAGATTTATTTCTCTGGCCATTAACATTCCAAAAGGCCATTAAAGATAACATGGATATAAAAACTGCTTGTCTGAAAAGCAAAGCCGGTATTTTTTGTGAGTCAAGAAAAGTTGAAAAAAATCAATAAACTGATAAACTGAAACACATTTACTTTTAAAAGTTTAAAAATAAAAAGGCAAGATATTGGTAAGGGAATACACGTTTAAAATGTTTAAATATTTAATATATTTTTTTAAAAAAAGTTAAGTGGACTAAGCTAAGTGGACTTTCAGAAGAGATCTATCAAAGCTGCAACACAGACACACAGACATGCACGTGAGAATCTTAAGGGGTCCACCTTCAAATAAATCACAGAACACTAAAAACTACAGTTTATATAAACAGATTGCTACTTTCCTCTCTTTCTGATCTCAGCGTAATACACTGACTTACCTGCAGCATTTGGATCAGAGAATTATTTCTCCCAAGAATACACAGGTAAAGAAAACAAAACAACCAGATAAAGTCCAATAACCACAGTAACATTTTTTGCAATCGAAGATCAGCAGTGTAAACTATAGATTATGCCTATATGGAAAGACACAAACCATTAAATGGGTCAATCGGCCCACATTTTGCATAAGCCATAGCAGAAATTGGGGGTGGGGGTGCTTAGGGTGACATGGCCCTGGGCCCTTGGGGTAGACGTGTGCTCCACCCTTGAAGCTCCACCCCCTTGAGGCAGGGCGGGAGGCGTGTCTCCCAGCTGACAGCGCCTTTCTTCTCCGGGCCTCTGCAGACCTCTCTGTCTACGTGGTGCTGATGTGCTCAGCAGGGATCCTGAGCATCCTTCTCTTCGCTCTGGTCACCCTCTGCCAGACCTTGAGCAACAGGAGGCGATGCCATGGTGAGCCCATTGCCAATATACAAGACTCCTGTCCTTCTGTAGTTTAAATATATTGCCACTGAATTTACTAATCCTGCATTGTTTATTCAATTTTTGTCTCTGAATGTTCTGCAAATTTCTCTTTGACTATGTTCAAAATACTTATTTTAATATTAAATGATTAAGAGATCTTTGGCCCTTGTAAACCACCCAGAGTCACTGTCTTAGATGGTTAGATGGGTGGTATCTAAATTTGTAATACAGACAATTGTGTATAAACAGAGAGCTTCCCAAGTTTTGTCCAGAACATTGAGGTGCTGCCCTGCAGTGTTTTAAGTGAAGAAAGAAAACAAAGTGATCCTCACTCCTCCAGAAATCGCACCCAAGTGAAAATTACTATGCACAGCGATACTTTCCTTAATTTCTGTTTTTCATATTTCTGTATTCTTTTCACAGTGAAATGTAACTTGGTGAAGTCTCCTAAGAAGAGGTAGGGGAGAAGAAGCTTCTTTTTGAGAACTACAGCCTTTCATTTCTCTACAAAAATGTCACTGACTTTAGTTGTCCTCCTAGCTTGAGAACAGCATATTTTAAGTCCTGGAAATTATTTTGAGAGCCTTTTAATCTGTGCCATAAAAGGCACAAAGGAGGAACGGCCACTTCAGAAGAGCACCGAGAATCATCGGTGGTTGTAGAACACGGGCCGTCTGTGAGCCCCTGGAACCTATTTCCTTCGTGTCCCCTTCGTTGAAATATTTTTATTTGTTATTTTATTTATTTTTATTTGTTATTTTATTTGTTACAAATTTATACAGCCACCCAACTCAGATACCATTACTGCAGGCAGTGTACAACATTAAAACAAAAACAAAAAAATATGTTGGAGATTGAGTCTTTAGAATAGAATAGAATAGAATAGAATAGAATAGAATAGAATAGAATAGAATAGAATA